AACATTTGAATCAAAACCAATGAATTTTTACACTTAAAGTCCGAGATGTGCAGCGCGCATTTCTCACTTGATTTTTTCAACGCAAAAACAAATACAGTTTATTACTAGAATTAAAATCTTCTTTTTCTTACGTACATATTACAAGCTTAAACATTATTCTATCTACTACTTCAAACAGAACTATGTTTTGTCAACTGTGTGCAAAGTTATTAGCAAATGAGCAGTTCGTGACCAAAACTGTGTATGCCAAGCATGGCGACATCTACTATTTGCAAGTGGGTACGTAAAACAAAGGTTATCCGTCACCTTGCCGGGGGCTTGACTAAAACGGCCAACTCAAGACCAACAATTGAAAAGGCCTCAACTCAATTTTGTAAACAAACCTTGTAAGGCCATTTTCTCGCGAACCGAAGTCCGCCAAAGGAATCCAACATAATGAACAGGTAGAGGAATTTATCCTCTACCCGATTGTGGTTTAGGTTTGCGAATGTAGGTTTCGGTTTGTGAGAAAATGGCCTTACATGGTTTGTTTACAAAATGGAGTTGAGGCCATTTTAATTGTTGGTCTTGAACTATTCATTTTTTTCATTTCATTGATAAGCCTAATGACGTAGATGATTGAAAGGCTAGGCCCTGCTGCTTGAGGTAGGGCCGATAATTTATTTTTGGATTTATTTGACGTTGCGAAAAAGTTTAGCAAATGGCGTACCATTTCTGATGACAAGCCCAACGGCTTAACAAAAAGGGCCTATCCATTGAAAGATTAACAAAAAGGCATGTTAAGTTATGAAATTAAATTGCTATCGATTTTCATATATTTTTGAAAACTTATCGCATATTTAGATGTTGTATACTGAGATACAGTTACTATTGTTATTGTGAACAATATAAATGAATTGAATAGTGGCGGAAAAATTTTAAATTCCTTTTTTTGTTTTTATTACATTTTGGACATAGGCCCTTTTCATATGTGACGTCCAGTTGCGAAAAAGTACATTTTTTAAAACTAATTTTGACTAATTTGGCATATTCTTTGTTCAACTTATTTAAATTGGGAAGTGTTATATCTGAATAACTGCACACTATTTAGAGATATAATATTCGCCTAATTTTGCCAAATTTGGGACTACAATTTTTCTTGAGAGCTGCCAGTTCACTCGACTGTTATCCGGGTTAAAAAAAATCTCCTAGACCATCATAAAAATTACACTACTTGTGCAATATGGACTAATAAATCATCACTGAAAATGTCACATCATTTGGTAACGTGGTTAAAAAGTTGCAGTTGTTTATGTGTGTCATTTCGTGTTCACCTTTTACTGTATTCCATTTTTGCATGATTCTGAATGGCTACAGCGAATGTCCTGAACCCTCAACAGTTTTTGAATTCCGTTCCCTGAATATAACCCAAATTTCACAGCACCTAACGACCGTTGACAGTTCTGGCAGGTTTGTGTTGACCCCCATTCGGTTCTATTTACTTTACTCGCTTGAAGAAAGAAGAATAAAAGCAAAGGCAAAAGTGAGGTTAGCTATTGAAATTTTATGCGAAACGGCCATTCGACGTAGCTACTTGGGTATCAATCGTCAATCGTACCTACATTGCTCGCCAGTCGCTCGATCGCTTGTATCAATTTCATCTTGTTACCGTATTCATAATAAGCTCACACAGGCTAAACACGAACCAAGACGCCATCTCGCTTCGGGTTCATATACGAAAATTGCCGACTGAGCACATGGCCTCTGTCTCTCCGTTTGTGTTTACATTAACCTGTTTTTGTACATTATTTTTCTTTGGCTATCCGGAACACGGCGGTATATATATTTTAACACACAGTGCGAGGAATGGTTTCTCCGGACGAAAAAGCCTATACCGACGCGTGGATTGTGTACTTCGTCTCAACCTGTTTTTTTTTGTTTCTCCTTTACGATCACTGAATCGCTTCTGATGGTGTACAAACTGTACCTACAATAATGGATGACGGCAGATAGAGAGTGCAACGTTTTCAAACGTGTAGATGTGTATTTATAAACGTGTAATAGCCACCACCAATGATGGGCGCATGGCTTGTTCATGAATGCCTAGTTGGTTTTATTGATTTTATGCCATTTTGAAATAGCTACCGGTTTGTCGCATTTAAATTTGGATGTTGTCACTATAATGTAAAATGAACGTTGTACACTATCAAAATGGGTTCGATCAGCTGATTTTGACAGTAGCTGATGTCGTTTGCACCAATACAAGCAGGCAAGGTGCTTGTATAGGTTTTATTGCATAATTAGGTGTGAAGACCAATGTAAACAAACCCATGGTAGTGTTTGTTTGTTTTTACAATACCATTTTATTTTATCAAGAATGTCAGTGTTGATGGACCAACATGCGGTTTGTTTGTTTACATAAACAAAATGTAAATGTTACTTTTTTACATTTTGATATACCTATGGATGAAACTGACAATATTATTTGTGTCATTGTTTTTGTTAGTGCCGGCATTCAGTGCACGGAACATAACCTAATTGTCTTCGCATTGATTGCTAACTCTGGCATTTTACATTTTTGTTGTGTTTGTTTTGGCTTCCATTCTCGCCTATTTGTTTCATTGGAAGCAAAATGCGGCGGATTTTTTTTTAAATCACACAAATATTTTCGATGACGACGATATTTATTATCCGTGATCGATTATCTTTTTTTTTTCCTTGATTTGTTTTTCGTCGATCTTGTTTTCCGTGCTGAGCACCAATGCTACCGACGCCAGGGAGGCCGCTCTCACACCTGGACCCAACCTATCGACCAATCAACTCATGAATCGGGGACCAACGGCTTTACTTCGTGATCAGAGATGTTATGCCTCAGAACGCTTACCACTACACTTGATCGATTATCTTTGTGATCATGAAATAACGGTATTCAAAATGGTGTAATAATGTTAAGTTTTGCGCGCACTGATCAAGTTGCATCATTGCGTAGCGCTTTCTTTGGCTATTACGTCCCAATTGGAACTTTACACCTCTCATCAATCATCTTAGTGTTCTTTATTATATTCTATGGCTGGCCAATGATACATACTCTTACTCACAGAATAATTTTGTCCGGACCTGGAATCGAACATGATATGCTGTGTCTTTATTGGCTACTCTGTCGAGTAAAAGCAAAGTGACGTATACGCCACTGTGACCAATTTTGATTTTTTTTTTGATTTTCATATTTAAAGCATCATTTGCATTATTCATCATGGAGAAGTTTGTTTCTACGAACGTCTCTAAGTTGCAAAATATCGATTTGAAATCTTGTTTTTGCAGCAAAGTGACGTTCGTACAACACCATTAAATAAAAAACATATTTTTTTTTTCACGACAGTTTCCTGCATGATAGGTTTATTAATATTGATTTAAAGTAAACTGCTTAACTGCTTAACCATAATATGAATAGTTTGGCGATTACGTCACATTGCTGTCACACGGCAGTACTGTGTTACTCACTTGTATCGAATATACGTATTATCCGGGGAAAACCAAAACTCGTCTAATTTAACGTTCATTATGCTGTGTTAAATTAGACGAGGTATACACACCCATTTTTGATCACTGGAAACTAGCAATATTTTGGTGGATTTTGCCGAGCTGAAAGTTCAGCAATCCATCCAGCAAAATATACAATTTAGACCAATGCCAAATTGACAATACCTTTCTGATGATCCAGCAAAACGGAAGGCCAATGCCAAAGGCCAGCAAATGTCGATTGTTTTCTTTTTTTTTAAGAAACTTACATCTCATGTTTGGAACGCATATTTTATTACTCTTCCATATAGAATAGTGATAGGCATAAATAATACATATAGTTATTCGTTAAATTTGACTGCACTTCTTAAACAATTACATAAAAAAAACATGTCTTGAAAAATCTGTGATGGGTTATCCTGGGTGAGGGATAAAAGCACTTTACGTAATTTCCTTGATATTTTGATAGCCGAACACTTCTTGAACATTACAATAATCAAAAATCGTGAAAGAGCGAAAGATAGATCTTGGCCTGATTTTGAAGTATCATACAGTTTACAAAACACATTTCATTACAGTTAGCAAAATATTTCATATTACTGATTTTTTAGTTAAGCTTAGTTTTGCTGGACGCGATTAACCAATTCATTTAGCTGGAACATGATTTCAAAATTTTGTATGTACATTCCCGCAAATAGAATATTCGTTATGAGTCAGGTAACGCAGTAGGCTACAGGAAAGCCCCATATTTTTAATTTTTTTTGCGTTCAACTTTTTTTGCAATACAGTGCCTTCTCGTTTTTGGCAACACGAACTCATAACATATATCTGTCTCCAGTTTTTTTAACCATGCTTTATGGGTAAATATGAATATGACAATTCACCTTTTCTGATCCCTAAAGCGCCGGTGTCTACGGTTCATACAAATTAAAAAAATATTTATGAACGATTGTCTACGTAGCTTATGACAGCCGCTAAGGCCCTAATTTCGCGCCTTTTTGAAATATTCTGAACCATATCTTAATGAGGATGTTTTGAGTTTCTAGCTCAAGCTAGAAACTTAGATAGTTAGCAGTTGATTATTATTGTATTAGTGTATATGAAAAATATAAATTTAAAAAATATCACAATACACTACAAATTTGAAAAAATGCGCGGAGCTAGATGACGTGTGAAATTATGGTTCTTCGCGGCACTCTTTTTTAATATGGCAGTTATTTTTGTGTAGCATCCTGAAAAATTAAATTATTGTTCTTATTAGCATGAGCAGTATTCCTATTAATGAACGACAAGTTTTCTAAAAAAAATAATCACATTTTAAGTCCAGTAAAAGACAAAAGTAATAAAGCAATTGAGTGATGTGTACAACTTGTATTTGGAACATGTATTTGTTTTATCAATAAATCCCGGCTTTTTAATTCCACTGTTATCGATGGCTCCACCGACCCATTGGTTTTGATTTTTAAATATTTTCCTTTTGTTTTTCTTTGCCTTTTTATCAGATTATTCCACCACCGGAATGGAAACCTCGGAAGTCCGGCTACGATCTCGATGAACTCAATATAACCATCCCGGCTCCCATCTGTCAGGTGGTTGCTGGAAAGCAAGGCCTCTATCAGCAAATCAACATTCAGAAAAATGCACTTACTGTGAAACAGTTTTCTGAACTGGCCAATACGGAACGGTAAGTTCTATCGCATGTTCAAACAAATTTCTCCGATGCATATGTGTAACCGCATTTATCAACAATCCCAGGTATGCTACTCCAAAACACTTCGACTTTGAGGATCTGGAACGTAAATATTGGAAAAACATTACGTACGTCGCTCCGATCTATGGTGCCGATGTCTGCGGAAGCGTCACTGATGAAGACTGCAATGTAAGATTATTACAACTCCCATTCTTAGTAACACTCACCTCTAATATAATCTTTTCCTTATTGTCCAGATCTGGAACATCAACCGGCTCGGAACCATCCTCGATTATGTCAATCAGGACTATGGTATCTCGATCGATGGCGTCAATACTGCCTACCTGTACTTTGGCATGTGGAAGACAACCTTTGCATGGCATACCGAGGACATGGATCTGTACTCGATCAACTATCTTCACTTTGGTGCACCGAAGACGTGGTACGCAGTCCCGCCGGAACATGGACGTAGGCTGGAGAAACTAGCCAACAGTTGCTTTCCGGCGAGTTTCAAAACATGTGCGGCGTACCTGCGCCACAAAATGACCCTCATCAGTCCGCAGATCCTGAAGCAGCACAACATCCCATTCGATAAAATTACCCAGGAAGAGAACGAAATCATGATAACCTTTCCTTTCGGGTACCATGCTGGCTTCAATCATGGATTCAACTGTGCCGAATCGACCAACTTTGCGCTACCGCGGTGGATTGAATACGGAAAGCGAGCTACTCAGTGCTACTGTAGTTCTGACATGGTGAAGATCTCAATGGATACGTTTGTTCAACGTTTCCAACCGGACAAGTACGAAGCGTGGATGAATGGGACGGACTTCGGTCCTCATCCGGAGGACTCCACGCACATAGTGGGTCCACCACCACGCGTAATAGATTGCGACAAAGACGAAGGAATCGAATCGTTCACGGAAGAAGGTGAGCACACGCCAATGAAGAAAGCCTGCAACATTGCAACTACAAATATCCGGAAGATGTCGTTCAAGGAAAAGAATCCGGACTTGGATTTAAATGACATACAGAACAATCCACACATTCCAGACGACGTGAAGATGGTCCTGAGTGGTGCACTGGTGGCCGATGAGGTAGAAGAAGAAGTAGAAGATGCGTCACCAAGTAAATCCGATGCCGGCTCGGATAGTTTCAAGTCCTCCTCGTACGATCCGTTCGATTCCGAAGATGATGACGAAGGTGAAGAATTTAGTTCTAAAAGCAAGAAACGGAAGAAGAAGAAGCGAGCAGGTAGCGACTACGATGACGATTGGTACTCGTCACAAAGCAAATCCCGACGAGTATCATCTCCTAGAAAAAGGCTGTCTAAAGAGCAACAGGCAGCCAAGACTGAGCGAGAAAAGCAACGCTTGGAGCGGCGAGCCACGCTCGAAGAGAAACGCAAAAGCCGTGAAGAGGAAAAGAAAGCTCGCGATGAGGTACGTGAACGGGAAAAGAATGAGCGAATGGAGAAGAAGGAACGCGATCGCCTGGAAAAGATAGAACAACGCGAAAGAAACCCTCCGGACACGAAAAAGAAAGCAATCGACAGGATTAAAGATCGCATGAGCAGCGGAAATCGATCGCCCAAAAAGTCAAGCAATGGAACGTCGCCGGCAATGAAAAAGATTAAGAGCCAGCTGATGAGAGAACTCCCGCCGCAGTTGAAAATTCTGGAGCACCACAAAAAATTCGAAGGTAAGATTCCGCATCTCAAAAAGGCCGGTGCCGAGAATGTCAATGGCGACGGTGGTCAAAGCAGTGGAAGTACAAAGGTCAGCAGTAGTGACACTAAGTTGTCTCTGCCAAAGTCCACAACTTTGACTGTGATAAATCGTCCGGGTGAAGTTTCGAAGCGGGAACCATATAATGTATTGCAGAATTCGATGCCGTTTAATTTGCCTCTATCAGACAGTAGTTTGGCAAGGAAAATCAGCAGTATTCCCAATTTGGTGGTGAAGCAAATCGATAAGAGTGAGGTGAAGAAGCATCCTTCGTTTATTTCACGAAATGTAACGTCTACCACGAAACCTTTCGCAATGGAATGCGAAACAAGTGAACGCAAGGTAGAAAAGCTGCCGTACCAAACATCGACGTACATTCCTCCTCCGGTAAAAGTGCCCAAGCCTCCTACTCTGGTCAAACCAAGTACTGACTATATGAGTGCGTTCAATGCCTTCCTGCAAAGTAATAATCAACGGCGGTTGGATATACCGACTCCAGTGACGTGTAAAAGAAAACCATTGGTAAATGTCGAACAAGCTCCAAAGCAGCCGAAATCAAATCGATACAACGACGAACTGTCGATGCCACCGCTAAGGCCTTCTTCAGTCGTTGCAAACACAGTGCTACCTATCCAAAGTGAACAGACTGTGAAATGTCGAACGATCGAGACTTCTGCTGGACCGATACAGATCGTTGTTCGAAAACATCCGGAACCAGAACCGCCGACAAACGTTCGTGAAACAAAAAATGTTCCGGTACTGTCGTCAGTCGTGATTACGCCAAATAGTTTTCTAAATATTCAACATCAGCCACCGGAGCAATTGCTTCAACCGCCGGAAGAACCACCTCAGCTAGTACCTTTCGAAGAGATGCAACAATTCCGGTACTTTGACGCGGCAGGCAACGAAATACCAGGTCCATGCCAGCCATCACTTGTTTATGAGGAAACAGTGATCCAAAGTTCCCCAATGATCTCGACCGAGTGCGAAACCACCACGACGATGCTGACCTCCTTTAATAGTACCCATGAACAGCTGCAACCAGTCATTAACAACATCGGCACCGGCTTCGTTTGGTCAAATAATCCTAACATTTATCTGAATGAACGATTAGTAGAGTACAACCATTAGACTAGTTGGTTGGTTACGCCATATATTTTGTCAGTGTTTTCAATTTTTTAACCTACCAATCTTACCCTTCCATCCTATCTTTAAACTATTTAAATCTACACACGTTTGTTTGTTCGTTTGCAAGTTATGTTATTCTTCAACTAATTAGTAGACTGCAGATTGACTGGCTTCTGAAAAACCAGTTGTAACTATCGGTTAGCTTAAGCCTATATAGAAGTTAGTTTTCTTTCGATGAAAGAATGACAAACTATGATGAAGTGATTGTAGCATCTAAATGTACATGTACCATTTGCGGTGACGTAAGCGTTTGAATTAAATCTTCTAAATGCGACACGTTTCCCGGGTATGTTCCATACCATTGAAAATCGTGAGAGATCAGAAATGCTACCCTGTTTTAGTATTAAAGCGATTGTTTCTACAAGACACCAAATTTTGTTATTAATCGATGCAATTTGGAAGAATTCCATCTTTCCATATAGCCCTCGCATTACTTTCCCAGCTTGTAAAAGTTGTTCTTTTTTTGTTCCGTCATCTAAGATCATCACAGACTAAGCATTGTTGTCCATGAGGGTTTGGAAAGGGATGGAAAGTGTGGCACCCGTATTTATTCATTTCCAATCGAATGCATAATTTCAACATTTCAAGCCTCTTGCACATGAACAATCCATGGCTGGTAGCAGGTTCCTTTCTAGTGTCTTGTTCACTTTTTTTAAACCGGTCTCCATAAAGCTACTAATTATACTTTTTAGTCAAATTCAAGCTACAATATTTTCTAATGTTAAAATGATTTGTAAAGTTTCAATATTTTCGTTCGAGTCGTTTGATTACTTCCAGTATTTTTTTTTGCGATGTATTCTCTCGTACGAAGCCAGTTGTTTGTTTGATTTGTTGAGATGAACAAAGGTTGTTGCACTCAATAACTATTTTTGTGTGAATTATGTTTCAGCGTTGTGTCTGTTTTTATCATTTACTATCATACGCAAGGAGCACAGCTTCAACCCAGGGTAGATGCATTGCGTTTGTGAAAATCTTCACTGTCACGTACGAGCGAAATGAACAAATGAGTTCATTATACATCAATGATTGTGCTTGATTAGAGAAGCGATCCTCAAAAGCAAAATAATCAAATTCATTTTGGACAAAATTATTATTGTCGACCCCAGAGCCTAAAACCTCGATATTATCATCAATTCAGCATTAGGTAATTTTCCATCGATCTGTGTTTAAAAACCCACACGACACGTTCTTCAGCGTTATATTTATTTTAAATGATAATAATCATTTTGTATTTTACTCTCAAAATAATCGCCACCAAAATGAAGACGAATATTAATTATTGACAACACAAGCGATAATGAATCTTGCACAGTCCTTAGAGCGTAACATAATATATGCATCTTCTCTGTGTGGTGAACAGCACAGCGAGTAAGGTAGTTGCATATATATATGACGTTTGAACAAAATGTCAGTTTTGCAGAGATGTGAAGTTGAGATGAGAACTTTGCTTGCCAGCAGTTTGGTTAATAGGCAAGTTCTTACTTTAACCCGATAGTTATTAACATATCTAATATTTCATTTCTCGGCAATATACTTAAATCGACGGAAGTACAATGGCCTCAAACGTCACTTTATCAAAACTGGTAGTTCGCCCACGCAAACTAACGTCACCATCAGGTAGATGAAAATGTCTCCTTCCTGACGGTGGCATTGGTTTGCGTGGGCGAGTTATCAGTTTCAATAAATTATGGACCTCCCGAGCCATTATTTGCAAAAGTACGCCGATTTGAATATTTGCTCAAGTTTCATTCAAAAATGTGTTCCAAAGTATATAAACTTTCTGTACCTACTTTTCCAGAAGGAAATCAGAATAAACACAAACTAAAGAAGCTGAAGAAAACAAGCAGAAGACGAAGACATTAGTTGAAGGAATCTGTTTTTTTTTTCGTAATATTGATAATAAATTCTGAATTAATGGCTCTTTAAGCTCTGAATTAATTTCCCTCACACATTTTAATTCGACGACCTTTGAATCCCATGTCAGATTAGGATTATTCGGATGAGAATAATTATCACATTTTTGATATTTTTTTTTACTAGAGACACTTCTTAATTTTATCTAATCAAACACCAATATAACCAGTGCTTGAAAGCATCCTGGAAAATGATATATATATATATACCTACATCATTTTTCTTGTCTATTTGATATATGTTTCACATCGAAGATGCGTCACACATATCAAAACGGCCAGGCCTACTGTGCAGCATTTATGCATAGAGGTAACTCTAAGACAAGAGTGGTTAATAGCCTCAATGCTTCGGTATAAAAAGAAAATGCGTGCTGGAGAGTAGTGGCAAGAAAGATCCCAAGCTAATCGATTCACCCCTTGAAACATAGGAAAATCCACTAACCCCTCGTTTTATCTGTCAAACAGGAAAAGAAGAAGCGCTCATAGTGTGGTTATTAGTCTGCTCACATGCACGTTCGATGGTATTTACTTTTTTGTCCATGCATGATACAAAAAAGAGAACTAATGGTAAAAAATGCGATAGGATTTGTTCAAAGGGATTACTGTCGGCTTCTCTTCGTCAATGACGAAGGATGTATGGAAATGATGGTTTTTGCAGCGCGACAATTTATTTTTGGTTTTCGTCAAACGTCACTGACCAAACTGACCGTTACCAACTCTGGTCATGAGCACTAACTCTTCTCCTAGCCTTTTATGGCTATTGCGCGATTACTCGCTTTCTGAAAAAAAGAAGAGGGAAAGGAAAAGGAGAAGAACAAAGGGAAAAGAATTATGCGAAATCTATGAACATAAACAATATTTTTGATTTGAAATATACAATATAGAAATGCAGAACGGCGCAGTGGACACTACCCGAGTCTTGTCACTATTATCAAGACTAAAATGTGATCCTTTGATTACTGGAAAATCTTGATTCCCAAATTTGAAGTTGTCACGACTAGGGTTCGGTGGTAGATCTTATACCAGTAACGCACCACAAAAAGGTGATCTCCCGTTACTGGTTTGAAAAAATAAAAATTTACAAAATGGAACGAACTCACCAAGTTCAGCCAATTGAACCTGAAGGCTGCCTGACATGTAGAAGTCCAAATTGTTGACGAAGCTTGACGAAGATCAACATGAACTAGTCCGGTTTATGGTAGTTGCGCGTTATGTCTTCCTTCGATTTGAGATAAACAAATGTTTGGACCATTTTTGATGTGCATTGGCAAATCTTTTCGTGGCCAATAGTCAGGTTCAACGCTGCGACTCAACGAATGATGGAACTAATGATGGAATGCCTCGTGGAGGTTCTACTTTGCTTTGGAACAGCTTCTCAGGTTTATTTATTTATTTATGTCGTCAATCAATCGTAGACCAATTACAATGAATGCTTATTAACTATGTCTTAAATATTATTGCCTGGCTAACCTTGAAAAGAATGCTTTTTTTAGTGTTATTTTATTCATTGTTACATCAATTGATTGGGAATATGCGTTATAGCAGGTCATAATTCTATTCAAAGGCCCATTTTTAGCATAGTTTGTTCTTTGATTGTTAATGTAAAACAAATTCCTAATCCTCAGAGAGCGAGTGGGAGCATAAAAATTTATATTTTCTAAAATTTCCGGAACATTAACTCTTTGAGCAATAACACATTGTTAATAGGGATCTAGAATGAGGAACTAGAAATTGTCTCCTTGGCCTGGTTATGGCCAGATCGAACACACGCACAGCCTACTCTCCCTTTTACTAGAAATTTGTTGAAAATTATCTACGACAATTGTCTACGCAGGGAGAAGGGCCAAGAATCCCAAAAAACTGTCTACGTAGT